AAAAAAAAAAAAAAAAAAAAAAAAAGATTTTTAAATGGGCAAGAGACTTGTACAGAAACATCACTAAGGGAAGTAGCCAACAGGCGCTTGGAAAGATCCGTGATGTCATCAGCCAGCAGAGAGATACAAAGGGAACCCACGGCAGAATGGTCCAAAGCAAGAACAAAAGGTTGCAAATGAAGGGAACGGGTGGAGGGGTGGGGGGGGGTCCAAACCCCACCTCTTATTTGCTGTGGGACCCTGAACAAGTGACTTCCCCGCCCTGAGCCTCAGTTTCCTCATCTGTAAAATGGGGTACTGTGAGGGTTCCAGGTCATAATGACATCCCGGGAGCCCATCCTCTCATCATCACTGTCATTTTTGTCCTTTTCATCACTGTCCAGCTGTGGAGGGAGGGAAGCTGGTGCCGAGGCTGCAAACTCAGACCTTCCCTGAAGACCCTTCCCCTCCCCCGCAGACGCTTCCCCTCCCCCCACCTTCCAGGACGTTCGTTTTCGACTTAAGGTGTGTGGGGCACACTCGTGCATCTATTTTCTTTTCCCAGGGGCTTCTGTGTTGGTATTTATGCCACCAACTCTGCGGAAGCCTGCCAATATGTCATTGCTCACGCCAAAGTGAACCATCCTGCTGGTGGAAAATGACCTACAGCTGCAGAAAATCCTTTCGGTAAACCCCTCCGCCCCCCATTGCTGCCTGCCACTCACTGGGGGAAGGAGGGGGTTGTGTGTGTGTGGAGTGGACGTGTGTGGAGTGGATGAGTTTAATTTCCAATGCATATTCATTTCCTACTCAGCCTCTGTTTTTAAAAAGGTGTTTGTGTGTTATTTTATATACAGCTCACTGTTTATCAGTTTTCTTTTAGAAAGTTATTTTGAACCTTGTCATCCTTGCTATGTTCACCTCTTATAATTATTGTTCTCCTTTCTGAAATGCTTTTGTCTTTCTTTTCTGTTTCTTTCATCAGTCCGAGCACTTCCTGTTTCACTACTTTCTGATGTCTGGCTCTCCCCTCAGGGCTTGTATGTTTGCTTTGTGTTCTTCCTTGCCAGCTGCGTTTACCCCATTACGTCCTAGGTTTTACGTTGGAAGGTTAGGGGGCAATTTTCCTTTGCTTTGCAGTGACTTTTTGTGCACAGTGAAATCTGACCCTCTCTTATTCCTTTTTTCCCCCCTTTGTGTTATCTTTGTAATGTTGCAAGAAACGTTTCCAATGACTTGTGTTTGAATGAGCTGCAGTTGCCTGAACCAGCTTTTGGCAGAAGGATCCTGAGGGGAGGGGAGTCCTTGGGAGGGGTGAGCCTCGATGGCCAGATTCACGGCTCACCCCAAGAGCCACTGCACTGCGTAGCTTGTGGGATCTTAGTTCCCTGACCAGGGATCGAACCTGGGACCCCAGCAGTGGAAGCGCAGAGTCCTAACCACTGGACCACCAAGGAATTCCTGTGACTGTTTCTTTAATACCATATTTCATCTTTTCTCAGTTACTTTTTACTATTTCTCGAGTTGAGATGTCTTGCCATGGATGGCATCCTCTGAACGCCGTGGGCCACATGTTTCCCCACATTTTAACTTCTCTGAAATTAGGGCAGATTTGCCAGCCTCAATGGAATCCAGTCAGACTCAGTGAAACAGGATATTTTGTGCCACCAGGCCTCCTTCAACGCCTAATTCCTGAGCTGGTTCAGTGAGGACAGACGTCTACTTTCTGAAATTGCTTTCTGAAGGCATGCCTCTTTAGTCCCTGGTACTCATGTCATGCCCTGTCTGTCCTGTTCACAGCAGAACACACTGCGGGATGGGGGATGGGGGATGGGGGACGGGGGAT